GACTTCTAAAACGCAGCTCTCGTCTAACCCCCAGCGGTCAACCATTTACGCAGCTGCTCAGCCAGAAATTCTGGAGTCACTGTTTGTCTTCAAACACCCTGCCTTCAGCACTTCACCCAACTCTAGGTCCACCTTCAGAATAACACCTTCACCACAACCCACCTCACTCAGGTCCCCAAGGACTCCTCTGAACTGGACCCCCAACTCCCGCTTCCCTTCGCTTTCCACCCATTTTCCACTTGGCTGCAGGCTCAGTATGGAAACCAGACCATGTCCTTCCCTGTGGAAACCCCAGCAGGGAGGCTCCCCCGGCTGTGCCCCGCCACACACCGGAACCGGGCCTTGCCGACAGCCATGCCCGCATCTCTGCCCGCACCAGCATTCCCTCCTCGCCCCTTCCAGTCCAACCACTCAGGCTTGCATGGGCCTCAGGCAGCCTGCCACCTTCTCTCCTGGTGCATTCACACATGACCCCCTGTCTTCCCACAGACTCCAGACCCTCTGTGTCCTAATCCACTGGCCTCAGCTCAGATGTCCTTAAAGCAAAGGGCCCCTGGAACAGCCTCCTTTAATCGCTCTCATGCCCTGTGCATTAATCCTGGTTTGCAGTTCTGTGTGTTAACCAGTGCATTTGTGACGTAGTTGTTCCATGACTGCCTCCTGTCCTAGATCACAAGCTTTTAGTGATGGTGGAATTTGGATGAGGCCAGGTCTTGTGCATGGCTGAATGCTCTAGCACTGAGCCACAAGATGCGGGATCTTGTCTGTCTTGTGCATCATGCTGACCCAGCACTTCCTGTGCAGAAAATACTGCCTCACAGCTTCAAGATTTGCAGATCCTTCCTGGACCCTCTGCTTCCCACCGTGATGACTGCATGAACTTGGCAGAAAAGGAGAGATGAAAAGCTAAGGGTACTACTCAGAGGTCTGGGTGTTTGAGCTTGGGGAATTTTCTTAAGATTTTCCTCCCTTAATTCATTTCAGCAAAGCAGACACCAAGGGCTCCATGCCTCTGAGAGTATGGTATGGGCACAGATGACTTGAGGCCACAATAGTTTAGTCTGATGGATTTCAGTGCTATTCTGCTGAGCTGCTGAGTGAGTCCAGGAGCCCTGAATAGATGGGCAGCTGTTTGTTTCTCCCAGTAATCAGGTAGGTTCTGTGGACTGTCCCTAATGAAATTTTATCTTGATCCAGTCCCAAAGAGCTTTCTGTGATGATGGGAATGTTTGCTATGTGCTGTCCACTACACCAGCCACTAGCAATGTGTAGTGCTTAAGCCCTTGAAATGTGACTAAGTAACTTTTCTTTACTGTGGAGTATTTTAGATGGCAGTGACTCCTGCATTAGGCAGCACAGCTGAGCCTCCTCACCCATCCCAGGGGAACCTATGGAGGGCCTGTAAGTGAGCACGGTGAGGATCCCTTCTTCATGAGGTGTAGTCAGGACAGCAGTGACCAAGGAGCTTAAGGAAAGGATCTGTGATATGAGAAGAAAGGCCCAGATTGTCTTGCCTTTACCTGGGGTGTGGTCTTTGCTGGCATGCATGTAAATGAAGCTTTCCACAAGCAAAGGAGAGCCTGATGGTGTGCATTTAGAAGAGCCATGGGATGGGCCTGGGAGAGCCCCACTGGTGGTGGGGGCTGCCTGGGTGGGAAGGGCCGAGGCACAGGCACAGAGACTCCTTCTGGCCGTCAGGGTTCCCCAGGAGGCACCAGCATTGAGGTGCCATGGGAGACCCAGCAGAGCCCGTGCAGCTTGACCAGTTCAGGGGCAGAAGAAAGCCTCCTTCATCCCTCAGAACCATACTTGCTGCTCTGTTCAGTGTGGCCAGTCCCTAAAACAGGGATGCATATGCCTGAAAACCCAGCACTGAAAGGGGGAAATGTGTTCCAGTCTGGATTTGGGGGTGAATAGTTGAATCCCACAATTAGAAATGAGATTCTTAAAGGCACCTATGGAGGCAGCACTACCTGGTCAGGTACCAAAAGTTAGTAAATAGTAAATCCTCTCTTGCTGGGCATGGTGGCACACACCTGTAATCCCAGGTACTTGGGAGGTTGACGCAGGAGGATCACAAATCTGAGGCAAGCCTAGGCAACTTAGTGGAACCCTGTCTCAAAATAGAAAAGGTCAGGATTGTGGCTCAGTGATAGAGCATTCAGCCATGCACAGGACCCTGGGCTTCGTCTCAATACTACTAACTCCAAAAAAATCCTTTGTTGGGGGTTGTGTATCTGTGTGCAGATGTGTCCATCAAAATCCTATGGGAGGGGCTGGGGATTTAGCTCAGTGGCAAAGCGCCTGCCTGGCAAGCGCAAGGTCGTGAGTTCAGTTCCTGGGGCTGGAGAAAAACCAAAACCAAAAAAAAAAAAATTAAAAAAAAAATATCCTATGGGAGACAGTCCACTCAGGTCAGAGATACTGAGGCCTACTGAAAGGTATGCAGGGATATTAGGACTCGTCCCTCATGTGGAGTAGAGATGACCATGGATGGAGACAGGCAGTGTGAGTGAGTCAGCTCACGGGAGCAGGGAACTGGGGGATATATTTCATAAGCCCCCTCCTCCTGGCTTCCTGCTGAGCTCTCACTGGCCAATTAATCCAGAAGTCAGAGTGTCAGAGAGCTCCCTGGGTTTCAACCTTGGGTCAGGGAGAGGGAGAAGAGTGCAGAGCACATCTGAGGGACTCCAGGGAAAAACAGCAACAGCAGAAAAAATACAAGTACAACAGCTGTTAGAACAGCCAATATCTAGAGACTGACACCACCAAATGCTGATGAGGATGTGGAGCAACAGGAACTCTCATTAGCTGCTAGTGAGAGTGCAAAGTGGGGCAGCTACTTTGGAACACACTACAAAACTGAGCATACCATTGGCGCAGAATCGATTAATCTCACCTCTCAGTATCTGCCCAAAGAAGCTGAAAGTCTGTGGTCACACAAATCTGTGTCTGAATGTGCACAGCACTTCTACTCATCACTGCCAAAACTTAGAAGTACCCAAGATGTCCTTCAGTAGGTGAATGGATAAACTGCAGAACATCCACACGATGGACTGTTACCAGGCACAAAAAGGAAATAAGCTACCAAACCATAAAAAGACAGGGAGGACGTTTAAATGACTATCCCTGCCTGACAGAAGCCAGTCTGAAAAGGTTAATATATGATACTCCAGAAAAGGCAAAACTCAGGGAGTTCGTGAAGAGAAAAGGGGCCACTAGGGGTTCAGGGAGAAGAGAGTATTAGTAGGCAGGTCACAGGATTTTTAGGACTTTGAAAATGTAATACCATCATGGTAGCTGCATTTTATATAATATGTTTGTCAAAAAATATAGAATGTACACTAGCAATAGGGCATCCTAAAATAAACTGTGGACTTTGGGTGAAAGTGAAGTCAGCATAAGCTCACTGACGGTAACAAATGTACCACCCTGGGCTAGGATGTTGGCAGCGGAAGAGAGTGGCTCTGCGTGTGTGGAGGCGGAAGGTATCTGGGAACTCAATTTTCCCCATGAGCCTGAAACTGCTCTAAAAATAGTCTATTTTTGGAAAAAAAAAAAAAAATGCAGCCCTAAGGGCACTGGCTCCCAGAAGTGGCCGGCATAGAAAGGCTGGGCAGACTGCAGTCTGAGACTAGGGGCGCCCTCTGGTGCCGCATGGCTGGGTGGAGGGGCTGTTCCCCGCACTGACAAGCATCTCCCAGGCATAGGGCGGCCCACAGCGCCTTCTCGGAGTACCTGTCTCTTCCCTCTGCTGGTGGCCGGGCCACAGTGAGCCCAGGACAAGGTCAGCAAGCGGGGACCAGGACGGAGCACAGGGTCCACCTGCAGAGTTCACTCTCCCCTGCGCTCACACACACTGGCCTCAGCCCTGGCTGCCGCCCACACCCCATTCGCAGGCTTCAACGCGGGGACTTCTGGGCCCAGCTCCGCCAGGACGGAGTCTCTGGGTCGCAGCACCCGTGCTCCTCCCCTTCCGGGACTTCCAGGTGCTTCAGGGCTTCTCGGAAGCCCCCACTGCCTCCGCGGGGCTGGTAGAGGAAACTCTATCCGTGACCCCACTTTCCTTTTGGACCGCAGCCGGCTGGGAAGATGGGGCCTGCCGTGCTCCGTGCTCCGTGCTCCACTGCGGTGCGGGGGCTGGCGGGCCTCGCGGCTGATCTGAGTTAAGCCTCTCAGTAAACCTCGTGTGGCCAAATGTCAGGGCGGGCTCCGGGACTCGTATGTTGACTCGGCAGGCACAGTGGCTGAGCGGGTTGTTTTTAATGAGGATTCCAACTTTACCTTGTACGTTTTGTGTTTGCATTGTGTTTATTACTTGCTTGTATGATTAATTTAAAATTCTTAAATGTTTGCTTTAAAAATTGCCACATCTGAGAAAAGATTTTTTTCATAGAGCTAGTCAGCATTTGCAGATGCCATAAAAATAAGAGCATGGGTTTATTAACAACAACAACAAGAGATTCTGAGCAGCACACAGCGGTGCTCATTTATAATCCCAGCTACTTGGGAGGCTGAGGCAGAAAGATTGCACAATCTAGGCCAGTATTGGCATTTAGCAAAATGCTTTCTTAAAAACATACAAAACAAATTTAAAATATTAAAATTAAGATTCCTAATTTTAAATGGAAAAGACCTTGCCAATGGGTTCCACATGTAGTATAATGTCTAACACTGTTCTTTCCTTTTACATGGCATTGAATGCCGTTAATCTCCCTGAGGATTAGCTTTCTATGGCGTTTGATCTTTTACCAGGGAAGTTGGCAGGTGCTTCTTCTAGCTGAAAGGCTATCACTATGGGGCTTGTCATGAAGATAATAACTATGAAAAAGGGTTTGAAACATACCTGATAAAGGACTTGCATCACGAATACGTAAAGAGGAGAGAGGACGTGGTGGGGTACCATCTCATGGAATCAAGACAGCTGGAAAACAGCGGCTCCGCCAGCAGCAAGAGGGGAAGGGCTCTTGGAATCCAGAAGAAAGGGGAACAGGAAGCTAAACATCGTGGAGAAACAGAAAAGCAACGCAGAGAAAAGCAGCAGCACAATGCCAACTGCAGTTGAGGCAGGGAGGAGAATCCACTCCACAAGAAGAAGGTGAGCGTGGAGGGGCGGGACAGTAGCGCTGGCTTCAGGGTAAGCCATGGCTACAGCCAGGTGGGAGCACAGGGTGCCGGACTGCCCCCGAGAGGGGCCCCCAGCACGGCAGGTGGCGCTGGGAAGAAACCCGCTGCTGCACCAGTCTCAGACTGGATAGCAGGAGGGGCTTGTTTCAGACCAAGCTGCTGGGGGATAAGAAGTCACAGGACTAGCACTCTCTATGCCCTGGGAACATCCTGCCCTGGGTGGGACAGCCTCAGAGGCGGTCATGGAGAGGCGGAAGGAGCTGCGCACCCCCTGACTGGTTTGAGCAGCAAACAGCTGGAGCTGCGGAGGACAGCGTGGTGGCGCGTTGCCCTCCGTGGTAAGAAGCCAGGCCCCATCTGTGGTCGCTAAGGGTGCTGAGTCTGAAAGCTCCCACCAGGTGGAGCCCACAAAATTGCACAGCTCATTACGTGACAAAAGCAGCTCAGTGCTCTAATTGGCTTTTATTTACAATTCCCGTCCTGGGGACAATTCTGCTCTGAAGTTTAGAAAAGGTGCGCCAGTGAGCTCAGCAGAGGGCGCTGGCTCTGTAGGCAGAAGAGCTCTACAGAAAGTAGAAATGGGAACAAGTGGTTGGGTAGAACCACATTACCTCAGGCCACTTTCCTTCTAAGAATTAAAGAATCGATAGATTTCTCTCTCCCCCGCCCCCCTTTTCTTCCCTTCCTCTGCTCTCCCCTAATTTCCCTGAAAATCAGATCAACAACTTGCTTTCAGTTTGGTGGTGCAGAACTTTAGCACGAGTGACTCCATTTTGGTTTGGCCTACTGGAGTGCATAGTGCAGGAGCTCAGTCCAAATCAATGGCCTTCTGTCATTTTTATTCAGCGCATCCTAAAGTGTCCCCAAGTTTGGATGTCAGCAAACCTAAGAATGTTTCTCTAGGGTAATTTCTAAGAAGGACTTAAGAAGTTGAGAGGGCCGAGGGCTACACCTGAGCATTGGCATGGTGAGAATCCTCCCACCATTGCTTTCCCTTTATCTCCAGAGTTCTGTGTCGATTTTGCTCCTTGGAGCACTTTGATTCCTCAGGGAACCCCAAGTGGCTCAGCGGGGAATTATTGCGATGTGCTCAGTGTCACCAAGTCACTCATGTTTCAAAGAGGGAGAATAAGCTGAATCCAAGAAAAATACTACTTGTCTTAACTTTTTAAAAATTTAAGCCAGTAGAAATAATATGTATGAAGGCAGCACTTTTGGGAGTAGTAGCCAAAGAACTGATAAAAGAAAACCAATTTCTAACATTTAAAAAAAAAAAACTTCCTAGAGAAAGTATAACAAAAGCTGTGCAAGACCTCTTCACGGAAAACGGCAAAATGTTAGGAAAACGGCAAAATGTTAGGAAATGCTATGCTTGTGATTGGTCAGCTCAGTACTAGAAAAATGCTGCGTCTCCTGCAATTTATTTTCGGATTGAATGTAGTTGCCATCAAATTGTCACTGAATTTTTTTGCAGACATTGCCAAGCTAATTCTAAAATTGGTATGGAAGCCCAAAGGGCGCTAGCAAACCAAGCAGTCTTAAAGAACAGTGAAGCTGGCCAGCCTTATATGACCAGCCAAGGCTTGTCACAAAGCACCAGCCGCCGAGACACTTGTGTTGCCGCAACCATAGACAGCGCTATGGGAGAGGCTAATTTGTCTTTGGTTCTTCTCAGTTATGCTGGAATTCAGAGACTGTGATTGCTTGAAGATCCTGGAATTAACATCACTCAGAAATGGCTTGCCCTTGCGGGGAAGGCCTGGGCTGCGCCCTCAGTCAGAGACACATCGGACTGTGGAGGTCAGCAGTGGTTCAACTTTCCTGCTCAGGTGAGGGAGAGAGGCAGAAGCTTGTTGTTAACAAACTACTATCACTGTTATGCCAGAACATTTCTTCTAAATTTTCCTTCATCACCTTCCCCTTGGGAAATGTGCAGTGCGGGCCAACCACTAGCATAGATATGTGGGGAGCCCAGCCAGCCCTGGCTCACTGATCAGGCATCAGAAGTCTAGTGTTCAACACCCTGAAACCCTTCAAGGGTAAATCTAATACAAATGGAAGGAACACTGCTGGGGACCAGATAAACATAGGAAGGTCAATTTATACAAGAGACTACTGTTTATCAAATCATTAAGGTCGTCTGTGCGCTCTGTGTGCATTTGCAAAACTCACAATCGCTAGGCTAGAGACAAACAGACAGGCAGGCAGGCAGGCAGGCAAAGACAATGTGTATGGACGCCCTGCATGTAGGAAAGGAGTTTAAATGTTACTTTCATTTGATCAGTCAGTCTGTTAGTGGACTTGTAGACTCCCGGGCCTCGGGAATGATTACAGGAGGTGAATTCTGGGCAGGTTTACAGAGTTTGACTTGAACTCCACCCTGCTTCTCCCCATATCCTGAGCACCTGTCCTCCTCTCCTGCACTACTCCAATTGGGATCATTGGGCCAACAGCCTCCCTCTCCCTAGCAGCTGGTCCCTTCCTACCTGCCTTATGAATCCCAGCCGTTGTGCCCTTGCTTCCACCAGAGTGAAGATCACTGCGCTGTCTTTAACCATGGGATGCATGTAGAAAACAGCGGTCAGTGTAAAAACCAAAGCGGGGACAAGGAATTTAGGATGGCAAGATGTGCGGTGCCTAGCTGCATGTAAACCTGCGGAGACGGAGGTCATCAGAGGGACCCACACTCAGAAAGGACCCCCTTTAACGGAGGCTTCCCATAGCTCATGACTTCCTACCACTTCATTCATGGCCTGGTGCTTCTGTCCTTGTGTTACCGAAGGACAGTCCATGGGGCTTTCTTCCAGGTTCTTGTTGTCCTGAACCAAATACTGCACAAGATACACAAAAAAGGCAGCAAAGTGTACACTTATTGAAGGCAGAAAAAAATTTTGTTCTGGAGAATGACAGCGGGCTGCTAAAAGGCTCCCAGCAGCTCCCAGGATGGGGAAAAATGTCTTTCATATCCAAAATTTCCAGGTTATTTCTCCCTCATGTCAATAATGCATCAGGAGAGTCATCCTATCGCTCACTCACTTGGCGTCACACCATGTATAAGACTGTTCTGTCAAAAACTTGTCCGACTTCCTGTTACCTGGAGATGAAGGATCAGAAATAGTCTCTTTTGATTGGCTGTGCCCATATGCAAATGAAGGATTGAAAAGAGCATCTTCTGATTGGTCCTGTGAACAGCACCAGATTCAAATGGCGGATGGAAAGTAGCAAGTTTCTGATTGGTTCTGTGCACAGTGATGGTGGCCTTGTTGTACTGGTAGTGTGCCCCTCCCCCGAAGCACCCCTCACTGTCACTCCCATCTTACATATATATCCATAATGCATAGAGAATTAAATAAGACATATTTCAGCCTGACAGCGAAGAGAAAAAGGCAGAATACCAGGCCCCACCCGAGGCTGGCTCAATCAGACGCTTCGTGGTAACAAGCCCCGTGGGCGGTGGGTCTAGGCAATGTCTCAGGCTCTTCATTTGCTCTGTTATTCTCAGTCTGCTTTATAAAACTTACAGAGTGAGGACATCCTCAAAAACAGATGCACAGATAAAGTCTTTTTACTCATCAGTGCAGTTTTAAAATGAGAAAGACAAGGGTGGAAAGTGAGCCGGAAAGACACAAAGCATCTCCAGAATGTTTGTCGTGAGACAACTAGCCGGGTTTGGGAAGGCAGGGGTTAGGAACCAAACACGGTCGGAGGCTGTGGGAACAGAGATGAGTCAGAGCTGCTGGAGCTTCTCTGCCTTTGTCCTGTCTGCAAAGCCGTGTTCCTCCAGTAAGGTAAACACGCCATGCTTTGTTAGTCTTGAGCCATCAACAAAGCAGAACACTTGTACACAACACATCAAACAATGTCCTACAAGAGGAATGCGTTTTTAATCCGTAGATTACAGCAACAACTTGGAAGGAAATTGAGGCTGTGGGCCAGGGACTGTCCAATATGTTACCCAATTCTCCGCCAGCCAGGGCCTGAGCGGTGACAAACAAGATGCTGGCGCTCATAGCCCCTTCTCTCTGTATCCCTTCTGCACTGACCTGCTGGCAGAATTGTAAAAATGATCCTGAGAGCCCAGTGCCTAATCAAAGCAAAACACTTAATGTTTGACTAGCTCAGCCATCAGCTTGTGTTGCAAAATAGTTTTAAAACAAGATAGTTAGAATTTGAGCTTTATGTTCTTCTTCAGCCAGAAGTCCTGCCAGCCGCAAGATGTAATCTGGTGGAGGAAATTCTGAGAAATTTCACTAGCATTAAGACATTCAAGGAACTGAGGGACCGGGGTGTCAAAAGGAGCATCAGGTGGGTCCAGGGGAAGGGATGGATGAAAGCAAAGGAGAGAAAAGGCACTGCTGTCTTGGTGACCAGTTCATCCTCGTTTGCCTGGGACGTTCCCAGGTCTGACTTAATGGGAAACTCCTCAGTCCAGAGCAGAGACGCCTCATCACCCTCTGACCTGTGAGCTGGGGATGACTGGCAGGTGGGCAGAGCAGGACCTTGCGGGTTCCTGGTCCCCAGCAGTCTGGACAGTCTGAGATGCACCCTCAGGGAAAGGGGTAGGGGAGGGAGGAACCACCAGTTTCTTATTGGAAACTCTAGCAAGGGTAGTGGCTTTGAATCCCTGCTTTCATTTGGAAGACGCCTTCTTGAAAATCCTTGAAAACACTTCCTGTTTTTAATTAAGGAGATCCCTGGAGCATTTCCATACAGTATTCTCTTTTAGCTGAGATTTTGTACTTTTCTCCTCTCACTTCATTAAAACAAAAACAAAAAAGACCAGAAAACATCACCCCCTGCCCTGCAGGTGGTATTCAGGGATTTAGTTCAAGACTCTTTTGAGAAAGTACAGAATGAGCTCAGCCCCTATTTCTCAAAGCCACCAGCTAAGTGTCACCAGCTGGAGTGGATCCTTGCTTTAGTGATGACAGAAATTAAAAAGAAGCACAAATTTACAGGGAAAAAAATGTTGTAATTGGAAAGTAAGAGAAAGACAGGAAAAGGACTCCGGCTTGGGTAGCTGGCAGAGGCATCTGCTGATCCAGGAGCCAGCTTTTAAGGATAAGCCAGGTGGGCCAGGGTCTGGTCAATCATTATCTCAGTCCTGGTTTTGTAGTTCAGGTGAACTGCTGTAACTTGAAGGGAAAGTCAGTTCCTGCTGTAGGAGTAAATTAGCCACATGAAGCTCCGCTGGAAACCAAGGTGACCATGGGTTTAGGCAATGAAGCTTGAAGGTTGATGAGATAGGCCTGGTAAAGCTAGGGCTCACGGACGGACACTCCCTGAATGACTGCCAGGCCTGTATGCAGAGACCAGAGGGATTTGACCCAAGGTTTCACAAAACGAAGGTCAAGCTTTGGTCTACTTTTAGGTAATATTGGGCATTTATAGGCTGAAGTGAAGTCATAGTCTTTAACCTAACTGCTTCAGAAGAAAATACAAATTATGCTTTTCATGAGTAACAGGCTAAGGGCCCGGCAGTTTTTTCTTTGTCCCTACAGTGGCCAGTTCTCCCTGTGCCCCAACAGTCTCCCTCCCCATCCCAACTGACCCTATTCCCTACGCAGAGCTGGATCTCCAGGCAAAGAGCAGGGCCCAGGGCTTGGCTCCGTGCCACCCCAGACAATCTCCTTCCTTCCCCCTCAGCATGACTGGGGATCATGCAAACATGGTGTCATGGTTTAAATATACAACATCCCCCTAAAGTCTCAGCTGTTCAGAGATGGGCTTTGGAAGGTGCTCGGGTCATGGAGACATGGATGTGCTTTCAGGAGGTGGGGTCCAATTGGAGGAGATGGGTCACTAGGGCATAACTTGTAGAAGTGTACTTTTATGCCCAGAGCCTCTCTTCCCTCTCCCTGCTTTCCTCTACCATGCCCCTCTGCCATGTCACTTCTGCCTGGGGGCCAACCAACCAAAGACTGAACCCTCTGAACCTATGAGCCAAAATAAATCTCTCCTCAAGTTGCAAGTCCCACATATTTTGTCTCAGTGATGGAAAAGCTGACCAACACTCAAAGTATGTGACTTTGGAGAAGCTTCACCCTTGTCCCTCACCATAGACAGCTCTTTATACTCCCTGGATGGCAGATTAAGAAGGACTGGTTCTTAGGGCCAGTCCCAAGGAACTGTCCTCACCTCCTGTGGTCATATGTGGCCCAGAGGACATTGAAGAGTCACATGCTTCTAGTACACCAGAGACCACAGGCCGGGAGGTGGCCCAAGGGGATGGGCAGGAGACCAGGCTCCATGTGCCAGCAGAAGCTCTATACCTATGTGGGAATGAAGTCTGTGGTCACACGTGAAGCCTACAGTGTCAGGCATCTCATGCTAGTGCTGCTGCTATAGTTAACATCCGCTGGGAGCTCAAAGCTCTGCCTCTCAATTCTTAAACAGCTCAAGTTCAAGGAATTGCTACATAACATCCTGCCCCTTCCCCCACGTAGGCAGATTTTCCTGTTGTTTCTGTTATAGGGATGAACCAAATTAGTTACATGCTTTAGAAAAGGAAGAAGATTTTATTACTACAGCCAAGTGTGGTGGGAAAGCATACATATATCCACACACTTCCGCCTACAGCAACCCCCTCCCCCCAATACATATGCCCTCGAGTGAGAGAAGACATGCAGAGAATTGGTCCTTGTTGCTAAAATCCTTGCAAAAGTCACAAGTTCCTTCAGAAGAGTAAAAGAGAATGTTTCACGGTTTGCTTCCCGTCCTCCGTTAAGTGAACCTGCTGTTCCTCAGAGAGAGAAACAGCTGATTACCCTGGTTTATTGCCCTCGTGTTGATTTTCTGGCCTCCTCGGCAGCCAGGACACCCCAAACCTGTGTTCAGCTCCTGGTGTGTTCAGTAAACTCGTGGGCAGCTGGGACGACATCCATCCACATCCATCTCTCTGGTCTATAAGAGTATAAGTTAGGATCTGCCTTTGTCCCAGTAGATTTTTTAAATGTTTGCTTGCATTTCATGTGCTGTAATGATGGTTTTAAAGCCAGACTTTACCCAGAAATTATGGCAGAGGGGGACGTTCAGGCCAGCCAAACCCCAAAGCCCAGAGACTGTGATGTATACAATGCACTCCTGTTAATATAACTATGCAGGATTTGACTTCCCCTCACACGCCAGGCCAAAAAAGTATTTTATGTAGCAACAAGACTCTTATTTCTTGGGATTTTTCATGAAATGATTTTCACTGGGAAATGCTGAAGACACCTTCCTTTTCTATGTGTTATATATGGGCTGGATCTTAAAAGCTCCCAAGGGCCCTATGCTAGTGGGTGTCTTCCAGTCTGTGTTGGCGCTGGGAGGGGGTGGAGCTATTGAGAGGCGGGCCCCATTGTGCGGAAGTGAGGTCATTGGGGCGTGTCCTTGAAGGGATATTAAGATTCCTCCCCCTCCCCCTCTCTCTTTTCTTTTCCCAGCCAGCACCAGGTGAATAGGTTCCCTCCAGCTGCTTCCACCATGATCTTCTGAGGCCATGGTCCACAACTTCTGAAACCATGAGTCAAAATAAACTTTCTCTCCTTTCCTTACCTCAGGTATTCTGTCACGATGATGGAACGCTAACACTCTATGCTTTACTCTGCCTGCCACCCACCCACCTCATCACAACTGTCTGCAGTGAGTGTGGGGACAATCACAGCTCACAAAGCCTGACTTTCCAGGCTTTTGGAGCCTGGTTCAGAGTAGCCACTTACCTGACTCCCGTCACACGCTTGTCTTCACTGCCAGAGACCTCTGTGATGAGAAAGTAAGCCTTCAAAGGGGAGCAGTATGCCCCTACACATATCAGGGGATGGGGATCAGTGTCCAGAGGTGACCAAAGACCTTCAGAGTGTCATAGAGAACAATATAAATCTATAGTTTAAACTCTGCCACATGGAGAGATTACTAAAGAAATCTCAAACAAAAAATCTATAGTTTGAAAAACAGAGTATTTGCATTTGAAGTTTAATCTTTACAAAAACTGTGTCAAAATAATACCACATCATTACAGAAACCAGAAAAAAATCATGCCACCGATGTGACCATCTTGACATTTTGAATATTTATGAACTTTCCATATTTATCAGATACATATTTTATCGATGGATTTACAGTTTGATATCCTGTTTTTTACTCACTATAAAGCCATGCACTTAAAAATGTTAGTAGTTACCATGATAGCAATGTATTGTACTTCCTATTGTATGTGCCCTAGTTTATTGCTCAAACCGTCCCTGCCTGTGTCACTGGGAGCTTGTTATACCTAGATGAGCCCCAGGAACTTCATGGGCTCCCAGGTGGGGCTTTTGGAAGGGGATTGGATTTGGGGGACTTATAGGTGACCTACTGTTAGGAAGTAGTGCCCAGCTGGAAGAGGCGGGTCACTGGGGGGCGTGGCCTGGAAGAAGTTACCTCCTTCCCAGGCTCCTCCTTTCTCTCTCTTTTTAATTTCTCTTCTTGGCTGCGATGATGCCAGCAGCTTCTTCCGCCGTGCCTTTCCACCGTACCCTCCTGCCTTGGAGTCACCCACCATTTAAACACTGAGGCTTCTAAAGTGTGAGCCAAATATGAATAAATAAATAAAATAAAATGTGAGCCAAAATAAACCGCTCCTCCTTTAAGTTGTGAGCATCAGGTATTTTGTCCCAGGGAGGAGAAAGTAACTGAGATGGAGCACTCTTTCTGGTTGGTTCCCGGGTCCATTGGTCATGTCTTCATTCTTTTGTTCTTTTAGCTCTTCCTCATTTTCTGGTACTACAAAGATGCTCCCAGCTCCTTTTGTATTTTTCCCTCTGGTACCTGAGAACCAGCTGTTTCCTCAGGAAACTCTGGTTCCTATTATTGGGGAATGGGACTAGAAACCAAAATCTGGGTACTGTTTTAATTAATTTTTCTCTAATAATTGGTTTCTGTTCATAATTTTATAAATATTTTCTCGTCTTTTCCTTATATTCTGTACAGTGGTTTTGGAGGATTTCAGTACCTGCTAAGATTGTGTATGTGGACTGTATGGCTCAAGACTCACGTGGCTGAGAAGGTTATATCTCCATTCCTGCTGCTCCCTTCTGCTTCCTGGCTGCTATGATGAGAGAAGCTTCCGCTGCTCAGGCCCTTCCACCTTGCAGCCAGAGGATTATGGACTAAAAATGTAAGATAAAACAAGCTTTTCCTCCTTTAAGCTGTGGGTGTTGGCATTGTGTCCCAGGGACAAGAAAGTGACTAAGACATTGCAGGTTCCAAAGAAATCCCACTCACATTCCAACTCCCCTACCATAGGGCTACACTGAGTGTAGATCCAAGAGTCACAAAGCCAGCTCCCGGCTGTTTCCATAGAAAGCCTGCCTCTTGGTCTCATTGCAGCCACTTTGGAATCTGATGTCTATCAGTCTGGGCTTCTCTCCCGAAACCCCTACATTAATATCCTGTGACACCCCGCTTTGTGCACACCTAGAATCTTAACTCTATTGGTCTTTCACAGTGCAAGTATTTTTAATAACAATTTCTCTATGGGTTCTTTAGGAAGAGCATGAATAAATATAAAAGGGATAGGCTGAAAATACTTTTTCTAAATTTTATTTTGAGACAATCTCACTAAGTGGCCCAGCTGGTCTTGAACTTGTGATTCTCCTGTCTCAACTTCCTGAGGAGCTGTGTTACAGGCATACATCACTGCACCCAGATGAAATAAGTACATTTTAATGTGGACATTCAGGGGCAACAGCTCTTATTTTCATGTACCCAATGCTCGATCTCTTCTTCTAGCAGCAGAACTCTTCCTTCTGGTGGGAAGCCCGTTCCATATGTCCGGTCCTCCCCTCTCTTCCCCAGGGTGTCAGTCCTAGCCAAAGAGAGGGTTCCACCCCTGATTCCCTGGATGTGCGTGGAAATAAGAAAAGCATCTGTGCTGTAACCTCAACCTGCTCAATTCCTCCCTTCATTAAGGACAAGGGGAAGGAGGGCAGGGGTGTGGATGACAACAGTTCAAACCTACCTCCAGCTTTGTCTACAGCCATGAGCAACCCACATTGGTTGGTAACATGAGCCAATGAATTCTCTGTGCTGTTTATGGCAGTCTGAGTTGTGTCTTTATGTCTGTTACATCTCTGTTCCATGGCTGCAAGAGTCCAGAAGAAGTCACAGACATCCACAAGCAATCATGGCCCTGGTTGTTCAGTAGGTCCCATTGTACATCACACTAGAGGTCTGATGGCCACCAGTGTGCCCAGAGAAGACAGCTTCCACTCTAGCCCTGTCTGCATGCTGGGGGCAGACCCAGACCACATAGGTTTGCAGAACCACTGCTTCCTGAATTACTGTTTGTGCAGAAAACTGTGCCCCCTTGGGGCTATTCTATGTCACCTTCTGGGTTACACTGTTAAGTCTCCTCTCAACAGAAGGGGCAAACAGGGACAACCCAGCACAACTTCAGCTGCTTCATGCCCAGTATTCTGTGGGTTATAATATTACAGGAAATTAGCTTTTCCCACCACAGGCAAATCACTGAGCTGTGGATGAACATCCCAGGAGGCGTTTTCAGATCTATGAACTGTGTTTCCCTTTCACAGACATTTTATAGCATAGCAGCAGTGTTGGTCTAGCCATTTAAGTCAGCATGAGATTCCTGCTGGCTTCTCCAGGCAGGGACACTGGGGAGGCGGGGACACTGCCACTGAGCTCTTCCCGCGCGCCTGCTCCCAGCCCCCAGGCAGCCCCTCAAAGGGGAAACCCACAGACAGCGTCCTGTGATTGTTTCTGTTTTCCCTGGGTGGATGCTTGCCAGAGGCTGTGTTAGAGAATATGCTAGATTTGGAGGGTCATCTGTTCTGGCCACAGGAATAAGCCAGAGACCTCTAGTGAAGAAGAAGTCTAGAATATTCTGTGGTCAGAATGGTGGCACTTTTCCATTTACAATTGTTGAAGTTTTCTGCAAAACCAACTATTGATCACTGCCTGAAAGGGAGGTTCTGGACTCAGGGGACCCCCCCCCCCCCATTGAAGCACACACCACCTCTGTTGAGGTTCTGCTCCTTGTAACCGGACTCAGGTGACTGAGGACCAGAGGGCTTGGGCAGCGGGTCCTTCCAGGGGTAGAGAGTGGGGGGAGGGCTGATAGTGTCTGATCTCCCCTGGGGCCACAGAGCTTCCTGGGGCCACAAGAGGAAGATGCAGAGGTGTTCTGGGCTCCAGCCACTCCTTGCCGACAGCTGCCTCCCTGCCCGGAAGTTTCCATCCCTGTAGCTCTGTGGGGAAGCTGTTTTTGAAGTGGGCTGACTTCCCTCCTGGCCACCTGGGGTGAGTGCGGGTGGTGCTCCTTTCCTTCCCATCCCTCTTTCTTCCTTTCTTCTTCCTCCTTTCTCTCCTCTTCCTCTTTCCTTTTCCTCTCTATTCTTTTCTGCCACTGCCGCCTCCACTTTCTCCTCCTCCCTTCCGTCAGCCTTTCCATGGGCGCTCCATGAGGCGAGCAGGGACGGGGGATGTGGCATGAGGCAAAGCCCAACAGACTAGAAGGAGGAGAGGGATTTCATTGCTTCTTGAGTCAAAATCCCAGTGGGAGGAGGCTGGGTAGAAACTGCAAGGCTCATCAGAGGCAGGCATCCTTGAGCAGAAAGCTGGCTTCTGGCTTGGGGTACACCCGAGGGAAAAGACCAACGTGCACACGCAAGGTGGAGGTTAAATAGGCAATGACCGAGCGCCGGGCAGGCGCCGGGCGACAGGCCTGGGGCGCATGCGCAGCTAAGCCTCCTGTGGAGAGCCGTGCTGGACTCTCCGGCATTCACCATTCACCATGGCCTAAGAGGGGGGGCTAGCAGGACACAGAAGGGTCTCAGGGAGCCCCCAAAACTCCAAGGCCTGCACCCATCTCCCAGCACTTCTGCATGGCGCTGTCTGCATCAGAACATGGTGCCTGACCAGGTCAGCGGCCACAGACAAGCAGGACAGGTGGCTGCAGGATGCAGGGCTGCCAGCAGAAGCAAGAGACAGGGAGCAGGCGGGCAGTGCCCCCAAACATCAAGTGGGTCTGGACTCCAGGGGGAGGCTCCACATCGAGCTACATCCACCATCTACAAGAGCGGACAAGGGAGGATAGGAGAAGGGGTGCAGCCTGAGATACCTGGGCACCTATAACTTTTCTGAACCTACCAGCTGGAAAGGGAGAAGCGGGGCATGCTGGGGAGGGAGAGATGGCCAGGCAAAGCGGACCTCACACCTGCTCAGTGTCCGTGCCCGCGCACAGCAGGCTGGCCCCGGAGTGCCTGTCCTATGAGATAGTCAGGTCCCTGTGCCCAGCATCTAGTTACCGCTCCCAGCCTGGGGCTCATCTTGCAGGGGAGATGGAAATCCACTGGGGAAGAGGAAATAAGAGCATCCTGGGCTGAATCGTGACCCCACATTCCTATGTTGTAATCCTCACACCCAGGACTTCCAAAGGGACTTTAAAGAGGTGACTAAGTTCAACATGACCATGGGTTGGCTTCAGCCAATCTGACTGGTGTCTTCATAAGAAGAGGAGCTCAGGACACGGAGAGGCACCAGAGATGGGCACGCCCAGAGGAGAGACCAGCTGGGGACACAGGAGAAGGTGGCCATCAGCAAGCCCAGGAGAGAGGCCTCTGAGACAGGAACTCTCCACACCCCTTGACCCGGGACTCTCGCCTCCAGACTGTGAGAAAGGAGGGACCTGCTGTTTGTCTCTCGGTGTGTGGTACTTCTTATGGCAGCTGTAGTAAGAGACATAAATAATATTGTGTGATGAGAATATGAGCAAACACATTTTTAAATATGGCTCTGGGTAGTTCTTCACGGAACAGGGGACTAGGAAATAGCAGTGGGTGGTGAGGGTCACTGCTGAAGAAAGGCTGAAGGGGCAAGGGTTCTCCAAGAGGGCGACATCTCAGCTGACTTCTAGATGTTGGGACACAGCTCACCACGAAAGCACTGCATGGACAGGTTGAGCACCTATAATCCAAAATCTGGAACTTTTTGAGCACTGACCTGATTCCTCTAGTGGAACTGTTTCATGCACATTATTAGAAATAAAAATATTGCACAAAATTACTTTCAGGCTTTTGGTATCAGAGGAAATTAATTTCCTGTTGGGTTTCATCCCAAGGTATCTCATGATACAGATGCAAATATTCCAAAATCCAAAAATATCCAAAATCATTTCTAGTCTCAAGTATTTTGGGCTACTCAGTCTGACTGAACACAGGCCAGAGGTGTTCTGCTGACAGCATTCTGTTTGGGGTAATTCTTTCCCTCCTTCCTGGAGGAATGCCTCTTCCCCTGTATTAGTCACTTTCCCATCACTGGGATGAAATCCCCAATGCCTGAATGTAAAGGAGGAGAGGTTTATTTCAGCTCACAGTTTCTGTGGATTCAGTCCATGGTAGCTGGCTCCAAAGCAAAAACAGCATGGTGAAAGGGGCCGGGGGCCATGGCTGTTCACACCATGGCAGCCAGGAAGCAGAGAAAACGGGGGAGCTGGAGCGGAGAATACACCTTCCCAAGTTACATCCCCAGTGAGACTTTTGGGGGCATTCTAGATCTAAACCATAATACCATCCCACTCCAAGCAAAGAACTGAATTCTAACTCCTTCTTCAAGGCATATCTCAAATGGCTGCTTTACTTCCATTCAGACTGATCGTTACACTCAAGATTACATTCACCATCTTTGGCATTTCTATGGCTTTTTAAAAATATTCTTTGTGTATGACTTTTACTTACAAGTGAATTCAGTCATATTATCATTGGCCACCAACTAACACCAGATATTTTGCTAAATATTTCTGGGTTCAAAGCAAATGGACATGGCACCCTGGTAAATAGTTCCTGAGTAAAGCAAACAGTGGGTGTCTGGAGAGAACTCTACAGCCAGGCTCACTATCACCAGCTGGGAGAGTCACCTCCGTAATAAATGTTATGAGAAGGTTGGTCCCCAGCTCCCCATCTTCCTACCTGCCTATGTCCTGGTAGGTTCCTGCCTGGTTCCTACTGCTTTGGCACCTGTGTTGTGTCTGGGAAGGAAAAATCAAAGGGATGGCAGATGGCCTCCCAGAGAGACTCTGATCTGCAGCACGTCTAGACAGAACTTGGCCACAGCATCTTCACTTTCACTGTCCTTAAGGGGTCATGCAGGCTGATGAAGGAAGGGTGTCGGGGACAATCAGCTGTAATGCAATGTGGAGAAGAGTCAGAAGAGGGGACGAAGGACTCCAGAGGTGCCAGGAAAGGAAGGGGCACTGGGTTATGGGGAAGTGAGACTATGGAGGAGGTGATATGCGGGTGAGCACAGAGAGCAGCGGAGGTTTCCTGGACTGGAATGGGGCCCTGGAGACAGGGACTGGGGCGTGGACAGCGTCCCCTGTGCATGGAAGGGGGGGTGGGGGAGGGGTGCTGTGGAGAACATTGCGTGCCAAGGCCTGAGCTCGCTTACCAATTACGCTACACAACTTCTTGCGATTGCTGTTTCAGACCCCCAAGCTAAGCTGGAGTTCCAGTACCACAGCCACTGGCAGCTCTGCCCTAACAGAAAACGAAGGGGGCTGGGTGTGGTGCTTACAGGGGCCTCTCATGCGCTACTTCCTTTGCCTGGCGAATACCAGGGTTTTGGACCCTCATGTGGTCTCTCACGCAGGAAGCAGGCTGACCCAGGCAGACGCCTTTGTGGCTCTTGTTTGACCTGGGTCCCATTCCTGCCTGTGTGGCTGTCACTCTGGCACTGGGGGCCCAGCCTTACATTCTTCCCATGTTCTTGGGACACCTGAACTGGGTGAGTTCTTGGCTGTTCAGATGGAAAAATGCAGATTCCATATATCACAACAGGAAGTGAGTTCAAAGTTGAGACTTCTACTTATAAATCCTGGGCTTGATGCATGCTGAGGACAGTCCTCCTGCCTTGTGTCACACAGATAAGAACAGAGGGAGAGAGAGATTTGAAAAAATACTGTGGGCCACTTTAAGTTCATGAGCAAATACCAGTCAGGTATGCTTGCAGCCCAGCACTCAGGAAATGCAGGCAGAAGGATCTCTGGGAGTTCGAGGTCAGCCTGGGCTATTTAGTGAGACCCTGTCTCAAATAAATAAATAAATAAATAAATAAATAAATAAATAAATAAATAAATAAATAAATTCATGAGCAAATACCTGAATGGGTTTTTAAAAGTGATTGGCAGCCAAGCATGATAACACATACCTACAGTCCCAGTACTCTGAGAGGCTGAGGCAAGAGGACTAAGTTTGAGCCCAGCCTGAGCAAATTAGTAGGCTTAGCAAGACCATATCTCAAAATAAAAAATAAAGAAGCCATGAGTTCAATCCCCAGGACAGAAAAGAGAGAAGAGAAAGGAAAGAAAAAGGTTATTAGGAAAGCAGGGAACCCAGTCTGCGAGATGGAGAGAAGGCCCCCAAATTCTTACCTCTGGCACTGGCTTGAGCCCTGCAGGCACAGGGTAGAACCGGTACCTGTGGAAGGCGACCCTGCCCTGCTTCGGTGGGAGACAGCTAGACTTGTACTCAGGCTGGGTGCTGAGGCCATCTTCACTACAACCACCAGGCTTTGGGTCCAAGGTGACAAGTGCCTCCTGTAGGTTATTCGATGTCGTGCTCCATAGCATTAGGACAACTTTTATCTCAGGTCATCTTTTCAGCTATGTTTGTCCGGTAAATAGCCTTGGAGGATGCAGATGGTGTTTCTATTGTATCAGAGGGCAGATTGTCTCCTGACCAGGATTTTAAAGATAACATCTCCCTTGGGGCAAAAGATGGGCAGATTTGCCAGCAACCCTCATAAAATGGGTCCCTAAGTGTGGGGAACCACAAGTTCACAATGGCTAATTTTGTATACTTTCCTAAGGGACAAACAGAGACTTGAGATTATCGTATCATCCTTTTGAGATTTCCCATTAACTCTTTAGGGATGGGCCATCCTCTCCCACCCACTAAGACTAAACTAAGACCACTAAGATTAAAAAACACTCCAGCTAGGGATATAGCTCAGTGGCACAAGTGCCTGGCTGGCAAGCACAAAGTCCTGAGTTAGATTCCCAGTACCAAATATAAAAAATAAAAAACACCCCGGGCAAGATCCTTCTCAGCATGGGGTCATCTCTGCTCTCCTGAGTCATCTCAGGATTATCCATTGCCCACCGTGTCAGGGACCTCTGAATCTTCCTAGCACCCTGAATCTTCTGCTAGCCCCACCTATCACTGCATGCACCCAATAAATAGTGGCTGGCTTGGAGTGTCTTTGTCTCTGCTCATCCTGAGGCATTGATCCCCCAGTCCCTCTTCATGCATTACTAAATTTGCTTCTGTTTCTTATTTCATCCTGTACTGTACCCCTCATATAGGCAGTTGGGGATCTTGGCCAGGTCCCCCATACCTAAGCTCAAGGTTCTTCAGCTGTGTGTAGAAAATTCACCTGACTTGGAGGGTGAAGGAACTGGTGTGAACACTCAGCTCATAGTTTCTACAACGGTGTGAGTAATAAAGTCTTTTTCTCTGACCCAGGACTATCGTGTCCTCAGCCAGCATCTAAGAAACTATGGCAGGCTAATTTGTTAGCTTGCAAATTGCATCAAATCTCAGACCCTTCCTACTTCCCAGCTGGGATATATAGTTATATGTTGAAATATATATATATGCATCATCTTGGAGTTTCAAGTCCCAGTGCAGTAAAAATGTGTGTTTGTTATAATAGCCACCTGGTCTGAGGCATCGTATAGAAGAATGAAGACAGAGGCACACGAACAGCCATTGTTACAGGAAAAGGCAGTTAAAGCAGGAAATCAGGGAAATACCTCTGGGGCTGGCTCCACGTTTCTCTTACCTAACGCTGTAAGTGGCCATTCGCTTTCCCAGCTCCCATTTTTTGGTGTGAAACCGAGATACTTTCTTTGTACCTAGAACTGTTGAGTAGACATCGAAGTCACCGTTCTCAAGTAGCCAAGCCAAAATGCATTGCCTACCATTTCCTGGCTTCCCGTGAACGGAGTCTGAAGTGCTGAGACTGCGCATTTTGTTACGCCCTTCCCTCCACCCTGCATCACAGCTTCAGCATCCTTAGGCAGCACCCAGTCACTGATTCATTCCTTTGCAGCAATAGCATTCAACTCAGTTTGCAAAGGTGCAACTTGCTCCCCGAGAGCATCTTTTTTGGTGGCTCCTGTGATATCTAAGTCACAATTGCGGTAAGTAGGCCAAGACAAACACCCCCACACACACTCTTCGGAAGTATGGCCGGGCCAGAGGTGCCGCTGTCCTAGAAGGCAGTGAGCTGGTTATAAGTGCCACTGACTGTAAGCAGCAGTCTGGCTTTGAAAAGGAGCAAGGACACGGGGCTTCCCGGCAAGACCTTCACGAAGAGTTTTCTGTACGAGGCTGGAGATGGTATCTGAATCCACAGAAGTGGGAGGAGGAAGCACCAGTTACACAGACTTGATCCTAAAAAATCCTTCTGCCACTGCACGTCATTAAGTTGCCCAGGCTGGGCTTGAACTTGCAATCTTCCTGCCTCAGCCTCCTAGAGTACTAGGCTTACAGATGTGCACCACTATGCCCAGCTGCTTTTCATTTCAACACGCTAGCCCTGAAGACTGATACTTACGCGTATATGTAGATAATGTGAAAATTAAGCAGGACACTAGTAAACTCAGAAACAAGCATATGCGTCTGTTAAACAGAAACCCCCTGTTCAAATCTACTGTGATCTCAAATTTAGCCAGCGCAGGACAATCCATTGTCTCCCATCTGCACGGAGGGAGGGGGACTCATTCGCTGTCCTCCCTGCACAAGCACAATGAACAAAAATTACGTTCGCTGTTTTGAATTTTGACTTTTCGAAAAGTAACATCTCGCA